CATCATATATGAACATGGCTTAAGCATGCAATTCCAACTTTTCATGTACAGTAGACAGCTCTTCATTAGATTTCCAGATTCACAATTTTGATAAAAAACTTGTTCACTCTGTAATCAATTATTTGGTGATCCCATACACTGTAATTCATTCTCTGTCAATATAATGACAGGGCATTTGAAATGTATTTTATTGTTAATGTGTATATACTTGTACATGTATGCATGCTCTTTATAAAATGACCTTTGGTAAAACTCAAGCATGACATCATACCTGTTGAATCACCTTTAATCACAATATATCTTACGACAATGATTGCTACTGGAGAAGATTTTGAAAGAAATGAAAATTAGATATAACATTTAAATGTAAATGATTCATAATCAGTAGACAATTATGCAACTGGACCATTTACACTACCAATCCAAGCTAAATGGCAATTTTTTCTGTCTGTAGGCTCATATAACAATCCATTATTTGGCTCTTTTAGTATCATTACTCATAAGACTATGTAGAGATTCATGCATGCATAATTTACCATTTCAAAATCTGAGAGTAGTCAGTTAGTGTGTAGGATGTAGAGTGGTCTTAATTTTTCCTTTGATTATACGATCTATCCGCCCTCGTTGATGCTGTGTGTATATATCGCACTCTTTGCTCAGCCTTACGGCTTCGTGCGATAGATACACACAGCTTCAACTCGAGTGCGTATAGATCGTATAATGAACTCATGCGCATGCATCATTTGTAAATGTGTAAGGCTATGACATTCAATATTGTACATGATTTGTACACTGTTTCTTCTTGCAGCAATTAACTTCATATAAATGTTCTCCTGGTTGCATGTGTTGCTATTACATGTAGAATTGAAACTCATGACTATCTCTTCATTTTGTACTGCATTCTTGCCATTCATGTTCTTTTCTATCATGCCTCACACAACTTTACCTCATAATAATTGAACTACATTTGTTTAAAGTATATGATGCAGAAACCTTGCCAAAAATGACAACAAAATCAGTGAGAAAACACCAGATATCCAGGATTACCACCCATGAAGCACTTTCAATGGTGACCCAGGGATTTGCTTCAGCAACAATTGCTCCAGGATTTATTTTGTATAAAAGAATTAGGGTGGGGTTGCAAGTGTGTTTTAAGTTGGGTCCATGCTTAGGGTTAGGGTACGGTATGGTGTTGGGTCCAAAGTTTGGTCCAGGATTGAAGATTAAATTGATTTTTTTTTTTTGTATACAAATTAACACTGAGCAATCGTTGGAGGAGCAAGCGTGGTACAACCCCATAGGATTTAGACCCTTGTAGAAATAGGCTACATTCAAAATCCCTGTCCAGTATACATACAGCTAAGAGTGTAGCTCAAGTCTAACCTGCATGAGGAGTCCGCACTGATTATTTTGATGGATATATCCAATTTTAATGTACCCAGTTCTGTGACAGACAATTCAACAGAGAAAAGGGGGTATCTTAGGTGCTAATATTTGGGGCTTCATGAAATTTCTGCTCTACAATACTGTTTGTAAGCACCTGAATAATATAGACTGAATGAACTACAGTGTTCTTCTTGAAGAAATATTGGTTCTTCTTCAATTTCGAATTTTGGCTAAATGAATAGAACATACTCGTATCAATGAATTGTGTACTCACAATTGCTTGTCCACAATGAAGTATTTATCAATGAAATGTCTGCAAAACGAAATACGATATATAATATGGCACCATAAATTACAGTCTTAAGTTACATGAAACATGTACACATGTATAATCTTTATATACAAAATGAATTGTATGGTAACTCTTACACCTTTCCAATAGCACTGCTTATCAAATGGAGTATTTACTTCAATGTAAATATAACTTTCATGTAAGCAGATTATATCTGTACTGCCATATCAGAACCTAGCTTGCTCCCAAAGGCTTGTCCACACAAACATTAGTTACTATATATCCATGTTCAAAATTGTTCCCCCAAACAACTGATTAAATCATAATGCACACTGAAGTATCATGAATTTTAAATTTGACAATCCTAGGTATTGCCAACTTTTCATCAATTTTTATTGCATCAAGAATGATCTTAAGACTCTTAGCTTCATTCAATTCCACCTGATTATAGTGTATACTATGTTTTTCTCTTGAAAATGACTATTTTGACAGGGGAGGGGAGGGGAGGGGGGAATGAAATATGTTTGAGTAAAATTTTCATCTCCCAAACCAGAATAATGGTTATTTTTCAAAATGTAATATAAATTATTATTAAAACTTGTTACTATTCAATAAATACAGGTTTCCAAAAATTCTAGACATAAGTTAAAAACTCAAAATTCTAAACCCTGTTAAGAAAGCAATAATAACCAAATATATGATTGTAAACTACACGAGAAAAAAAATAATTTACACGATTTGCAATTAATCACTAAATAACTTTTAAATAAGAGAATACATGGAATTTTTTACAGAACTAAAATTAGAAAACACAAACAACACTATTGATATTTGTGGCAAGAACTTTTTTTGTCTTAATTTTTATTACACACATGTAACATGATGCTGTCCTTTTAGTTATTTTTGTCAAAAAAATGTCATTCGGGTTTTTAAAAAACGGCCTGTTAACATTTTACAATTACAATTAAAATTTAAATTTAATTACACTTAAAAGTCATTTGAAATTCTACATTATACTCATGATGAATTCTGCTTTAAAATTTCTAGCAAACTTTAATCAATTTTTTATCTACCATCAAAGAAATGAAAAAAAGTAATGAAAAAAAAAGTAGAAGTTAAAGGGTATCTTGCACATCTATGCTATGCAACAGTTGTACAAACAACTGTATGAGTACCGCATTAACAAAATCAAATTTCAGAGCAATTTCAGCATGATACTAATAAGCATTAATACAACTTTAAAAGAAATGGAAATATATTCTCTTACCTCTTTAAATAATAACGACTATGTCCACTCAGTTCCTTTTCTTGTGACAATTCATCTTATTCACCTTAAAACAGTGATTGAAATTCTACATCCTTATTTAATAGTGTCATATTTTCTATAAAAAAAAATCGCAATGGAATTGCATAATCACAGAAAATGGCTGAAAATCAACATTCTATTTTGTGATAATAATAAATAACTGTTACTTATAAAGCACTTTACGAGTTACAGCATAACAGTCCAAAGCGCTTGCCTCGGTCACTGGTTTCTGTTACGATCCTGCAATTTACATTTACAGTGCACATTCTCATTCCCTGGGGAGCATTCCAGTCAGTCACCCTTTTGTCAAGCAAGTACATGCTAATTCAATCACACCAACGTTTGTATCCTAACGGGTACCTATTAAACACCTGGGTGGAGAGGAGCAACATAGATAAAATGCTTTGCTCAAGGACACAAGTGCTATGCTGGGGATCAAACTTGTGACCTTTGTATTCCAAGTCAGGTGATTAGACCACTCAACTACAAAACCTCTACTATATCTTCGTGAATCATATATTTATCACCTGTGTATTTTAGGCCCGTTTTAACCCTCAAAATGATCAAGATCAGAAGGAAATGATTATTCTTTTGTACTGCACCTGACAAAGGAATATTCAAGACCACATGTGAGGTTTCAAAAAATTAAAGACATTTCAAGGCAATCTTTGGGGAGAATCCATTTGTACACCTATAGGTATATATAACAAATACAAAATAAAGCAACTTGAATCCATTGGTGAAGACACACATGATATTATTAGGTAGAGTATTCTTAATGCAAAGTATGTACAGTGTATTAAAAGAGACTTGCAGGTATTGTGACATACACAGATATTTGAAATTTGTTTAACTTGCTCAGTTCTAAAACTTGCTGATATACAGTCAGATCCTTCAGTTGCTGTCACAACTAATAAATAAAATGTAGAAATTTTGACAATTCATGAAAATTGTTCATATAATATCATGTAAGTGTCAGCTTGCATGGTGATGTAGATATGTTTTATGTGGTGTGTCACATCAACATCAGGAATGGCCATGATATACATAGCATATTCAGTATTTAATGTGAAATCAATAGTTATTATGTTTCTTCTATCTGTCATATCGTTAACATCTTCATGATTAATTGTGACATTTCTGCTCGCATTTATAACCAATTATGAACTTGAGACATCAACTTGGACATTTAAAATAAATTGAGTGCTCTACTAGGAAATAAAATACATCTAAGTTTCTATTACATTGCATTACATTTTTTTAATTTGGGTTGTATAGTGTCATACCTTACATGTAGCTAGATCAACCTTGTATTTTCAAGTTGTAATAATCATAAGATAAGATAAAAACCCACATATTGTAAACTAAAACAAGATTTAAGAAACGATAGATAAATACTTCTTGTACTGAAAATGAAACCTCATAGTATTACAAAGTTTGTTTCACTTTACACAAGCAGTCTACTTCCTTATTCTTCAATTTCAAAAGCTTGGATTTTATAGCCATCAACAGAAGTTATACTGACCTCACAAATATTGAAAGGGGATTCCATTTATGTCATACATGTACATGGCATTTAGACAACATTTTCTAGCCTTGAAAGTAAAGGAATCAGCAGTGAAGATTTGTGTTATGGGTATACCGTAGTAAAAGTACAGGGGGGTCATAAGAAGATCATTTCTAGATGCGACAACTAAATTGAACCAACTATAAATTGTCCTTTCTTGACAAGATAGAACTAAATTTATCATACATGTATGTCCTACAGGACACAGAAAAATTAGATTATCTGAAAGTTAAAGTATATGCTCAAAACTCTGAGTTTCTTTGAAAAATGTCATTGAAAAAGTAATAAATAGGTAGTCTAACTATCAAATAAGACTTTACTACACCTTTTACATTGAAAAAGACTGTCATAAAAAAGACAAGATCTTCAGGATAATATAAGTTGCATGGGACATCTCTGGGCTTGTCCCATTTACTGACCTATCATGATCTAAATCATAGTTTTTCTTCTTAAATGAACACAATCTAACATAAAAAAAATAAGAAAAGGAGATTTTAATCTTTAGTGTATACAATAAAAGGGGCAATATGTATTGAAATATGAAATTATTTTGAAGAATTCATGAAGAATATGAGTATAAATGAAATATTTACATTGCATGCCTGCAAAACAGTGCAAATCAGTGTAATAAAGTCATAAATACAAAGCCCCCATATTAAACCTTGCCCCAAACAAGATATCTACATGTAGCTAAATAAGACTTTAAATGTCAGTTACATACTGTACACTATGACCAAATACATCATATGCATATAGTGTTAGAACAAATACAAATACAATCAAACCAAACAGACAAAGAAATGCAAACTCCAATGCCATGACATGTACACGTCACTACAAAATATGCTGGTACTATGTCTGTATGGAAGTTGTGATCAATGTAACTTCTTTGTCATCATGATGTGTCTCCCTCTATAGTCCAGTAAAACACATTGTCTGAGACAGGGATATTTGCCTTTTTCAAATTTTTCTTTATCCCATGAAATGATAATGTAAAACAAGCACATCAACAACAACAGTTGACTAATGCAAGAGCTTCAAAACGTGACTTATATGTTTTATAAAATGGTTCAACAATATTGATGTAAAGTTAAGAAATAGGCAAATGATAGTGTAAAACAAACTTATCGATGACAACAGTTGACTAATGTGAGTTATTTGTTTTATAAAACGGTCAACAAGATTAATGCAAAGTTGAGAAATAAGCAATAAACTCAATCAAAATTCCTAGATTTGTACAGGCAAGGGGACGTGATTCGATTTGAATGACAGTACATAAGCACATACAAACAGTATCTGCGCTTCTCAGCATGCGCATCACTATCATTGCCATATAAAACTACATGCATTTCATCACGTCTTAATTTATGTACACATCAGAGACAAGCATACAAGCATCTCAGCCTTGCATTATCTCCTTTAGCCGTGGGTTATCCCTTTTTGATAATGAACTTTTTTGCACGGTATGCATGGTTGGAAAGAATGATGGTGTCATAGGACCAATTAGACTGCCTACATTCTAGTACCTGTTTTATAATCTAAAGTAACCCTTAAAATAGTTCCTTACCTCTAGTTTCAGGGCTCTTTCTGTACTGAGTGATTCGAGTGGGAAGGCATGTTCGTAGGTGTCAGCGAGTTCTCGGAGGTCAAAGTAGTACTTAGCATATACACTGGCAGACACGTTGATGTTGAATTGAAGAAGTTCTAGGAACTGTCGCTCCAATTCATTCCTGAAAGACAAGGAATATCACACTGTTGAATGTTACATGGACTAGGTACTTTTTCGAGCCTAACCTAAAGGAAGTAGCAACCTTCTTGTGTTTCCATGATTAAGATTAGGACCGTTTTGAAAGCCCAATTTTAGTACACAGACCTTTTCTCAGACGAGTACCGGTGTATACAATATGATTACTTGGCCAGTAGAATGCATGTACCGGGGTATGTCGACTGCTCTTAAAAAAACGTGTATTAACGTGTTATTCGGTGAGTGCTGTTGTGATCTAATCCCGATCTAAAAGCAAAAATGTAGATTAACATTTCGTCAAAAGATGATTTTGTAAAATAAATTAATCAATAGCATCTTTTTATCGAGTCTCAGCTTAAAAATATTAATACACAAGAATTCCTAAGTTCTAGAAAGCCACAACAAGTTCTCAGAAATAAAATAAATAATAATACAAAATTTCATTAGATTAAATCTAAATTATATAAGAGCTTCTTTGAAGGTTATTTTCACACAGAGCTATCAGTTACTACAAATTGAAATAGGTGCAATTCCCTTACAATTTCAGAGTTGGATACTCACAAATCTTCTACTGTTAATTCTCTTAGAATTTGACAGTAGTCTACATTCCAGACTGCTTGGTCATCCCATAGTTTGGAACCTAGGATGATAGCACCACGGACCATTCGTTTCCAGTTGCTAGGCGTGACGTCGATTTCAGCATATGTTAATAATCTCTCTAAATACACATGCAGAAAAAAAGAAATAAATGTTCCATTCTTTTCTTCTTTTTTTTTTTTAAATTTAAGTGTAATAATGGGCTATTCTTTGCCAGATAACATAATGGGTTCAAATCTACCCTCTTTTAAATTGGCCTATATTAGGTTAATTGAGGCTTTCAAAGCAGAAATTGTAAGTTTCAGCCCACTTAGCCATATAATTTTTGGGGAGCATGCATTCTGCAGGCACGTAGACCAATAATTGAAACATTTTTTAAAAATCTTTAAAAGAACCATGTTTTTATTATAATGACATAAGAAGAATGCACCTAAATAATCTGGCCTTTTCAGTATTAAGTTCTGAGTTGGGGACAAAGTCAGTGCACATAAAACACAACTTCCCTTGAACAGGGAAATTATATCTTAGAATCCTTTTAATATATGAACAGAGAAAATAAAACCTGGAATGTAAAATGTCTTATCCAGCTACTCATGAGGAAAAGTTTCATCCCACATATATAAATCTGCCAGGATGGACAAGCTAATAATAAATATCCAGGATCAGTTTGGTCATGAGGATCCCAAATGTATAGTTTGCTACACCTCCGACCTTAAATGAGGGCGCTATGGTAAAAAACGTTGAAAGGTCAACACACTTTTGACTTTTGGTCAAATTCCCCTAACACAGACAACCTTACCGAATTGCATATCAAATTACTCGTCTGGTCATCAGGATTCCAAAAATGTATAGTTTGTTATACCTCCGATCTTAAATGAGGGCGCTATGGTCAAAAAGGTCAATGCACCTTAGACTGGTGGTCAAATTCACCAACACGTCCGATTCTAATTATTTTAGTGTCTAATAATATGTTTCTAACATGGCACATTCAACTATACAACTTTCAAAGTAAAATTGCTTACCTTGACCATGAAAATTCAAAATGACTGCCGTTTCAGTGACAAACATTTAACAACTTCTTATCCGTGGGTTTGGGGGAAATTTCAAGGTTTTGGCAACCACAAGGAAGCGTCCTCGCTTCTCTCCTGTTCAACGTGTACACTAGTGCACCCCAGTACGAGGAGTTTCCTGGTCGCCGGTGACCTCTACATCGCTAGACAGAACAAATCCTTTGAAAGGTTGAAAGTTCGTTTAGTGATGCCCTTGAAGGTCTAAATTCTCACTGTCCTACAAACCATCTAATGGAAAATCCAGAAAATACTAAATTGAGTGTCTTACAACTTAAGAACAAAGATGCCCACTGACAAGTGAGGGTCAGATAGTACGGAAAGAGGCTGAAACACATTCAAACGCCGGAATATATATGTGCAAACTTGACCGTTCCCTCACATTCGAGGACCAATACCAAGAGATGATCCAGAGTAGATATGCACGCTTTGTTTGAAATGACCATTGCAGAACAAGCAGTGGCACAGCCATGCTTGACCAACTACGGTGGCCATCTCTGCAAGAAAAGAGAGCCCAGGCTGAGGTAGCGATGATATTCTGTATCAAGAACTCGCTGATATCCATTCCCCATATAGTTCTGACTCAATAACTACCTGCTTTGCTAAGAGGCCATGACCAGAAACTCCAAGTGCCATATGCTCGGACACAAGTACTTCAAACACTCTTCCAGCTCTGTTAAGCTACGGATGTCTTTTTAAATGCACATAATTCACTGTACCTTCTATTGAGACACTTTATATACACCTGCACAGCACCTACATCAGTACAAGAATACACCCGACGGTGGCCTGTACTTATAACGAAGAAGAAGTAAAAGGTAAAAGTTGGAATTAGGAACAGCATCTTGTAGAAACACAAGGTGTGGAAAAAATGTCAGCACTATATATTGCCCTTTTTACTTTTTCATCGCTGAGTATGCAGCCCTGCGTGGAGTACGGTCGCATCATGCTGCAAAGATTGACCCAGTCTTAATTGCTGCGTGCAGAGCTATCTCAAGAAGCTTACAACCAACACGGGTAGTAACCTGATCTGGAGTTGAGCAAAGTAAGCAAAGAGACAACCCCTTCACCCCTCTATAACCATGATCATGCATCAAAGAAACTAAAATCTCCGCCAACAACCGAATGATGCCTCTGTGGACTTATCAATTCAATGCGACACAAGCTCTCCGTTGGACCCAGCGTATCTCTGCCATCAGGTTCAATGTGAGGCGTGGCCAACCTGGTTCTATCTAAATCGCCTTCGGACTGGAACAGGACAATGCAAAGTCATCATGTATACAATGGCTATAATTAATAAAGATAGAGGTACATGTACTATTGTGGAGAGAAACAGACGATGACACACCTTTTAGTCTGCCCCCTCCTCTTAGAACACTGTATCCTTATGTAATGTGTGATGACTCGAGAAGGAGAAGTATTTTATTCATTTTTTAAAATATATTTACTAATTTATTCATGTATTCATTCATTCATTCAATTAATTCATTTATTTATGTATTCATTCATTTATTCATATGAAATATGCGTTAAGTGTTAAAATTGACACCCTTCCTTAGAAAAAATCAGCTAAGTAATTATTTCTCCAAATGAATAAGATATCGTACTTCTTTCTTCATAGCTTCTGTAGGTTTCTGTGAGGAGCTGAACGACACGACTGTTGGATCTTTGGATTCTAAGATCACGCGGTTTGGTTCTATCGTTCATCTTACATGTATGGATGGATACAGTCTGAAAGGCAATGGAACCCTGCAATGTGTGCCGGGATCATCACCATACTTTCCCAAATGGAACGATTCACCCTCTACGTGCAAGATGATTGAAGGTTAAATAAATTATTCAATACCGGGCATTCGTGTAAATAAACGCATATGCAAAAATTACTTCAATAAGCAATCATTTTAAAATTCATCTTCCAATTCGTATATGTATTCATATATATATATATATATATATATGTTCATAACACATGATTGTAAGAATACAGTTAAAGGTTATCACTTAATATCTAAATATTCAACCTTTAGGTTCAACGCATAGTTATCATACTGCGGAAATTCAGGAAGGTAAGGATTAATTATACACTTTTACCATTCATTTTTTATTGCAAGTTATTCTTAATATTTTGCTTTAAGATGCTTTTGAATAATTTGTGCACTGTTTTGCTTGAAATTATGACCTCAAAATAAAGAGAAACACCTAAACATTGAAAGGAACTGTTAAGAAAATCAGCACATTCCCAAAATTTCATGATATATATTTCACAAAGCATATGTCTAGAGCAACCATATTCAATCACCATTATGGTGGTCTTCTTCTAATTTCCTTTTCAGTTGGTAGGTTGAGAGTTTATGATTTGTTTATCTAATGCCCCTCTTCGGCTTTACAAGTATTTCTAATTCCCATTAACATAATTCTGATATTGGTCATACATATTACAAAATATTCGAAGTAGTGAGGCTTTCATCTGGACTTTTGCTTCCTTGTTTCATAAATATTGTTCAGTTGAAGTACAATATCCAGCAGTCTTGTAGCTTTTTGTGAAACAGAAACAAGTTTGAATACTTTTTCTTTTTCGTTTGACATGGCATGTCGTGTTTGAAAGTGATGTCAAGTGTAAAAATGATAAATCTTCCTGTCAATGGCTTAAAGCTAAATAAAAAGAAAAAAAAGCTGTGTCATTTCGTTAGCACAAGAGCTCACTCAGCACAGTTGTGGACTTCAAATTCGGCGAAAACGATACAATTTTTGTTTCCTGCTTTCATTATTCTGCTTTAAAGTGAACCGGTAACTAAAGGCTGATAAAAAAAAGCCTCATTTTTTTATGAAGTGTTACTTATATGCCTTCTATTGTATTAACTCTCTAACGTGCAAACAATCCTGAAAATTCTCAAACCACACAGATTGTTATGGTTTTCCTTGGAGGCGTCAATGTGTAACTCCCTCTAACGTTTAATTATCCAACCGTTTTTCAATGAAAATAAGACATAAACAACAGGCTTTTTAAAATCTGTCAACACTTTAGCGTGTTGAATGGTATAAAGAGCAAATCCATTGCTTTGTGACAATTTACATTAACCTAAATTTTAATTAAAATAATATTTTAGGGATCGATCATTTTTCCCCAATTCGTATCTTTAAAAATGATCTGTTTTCATTCAAAATTTTCAGATAATCTTTAACAGTACATCTTGAGCATTTAACTCACTACCTTAGCAACATTTTCTCTCATCTGAACAATGTTATCAAGTCTCTTTAATAATTAATTATTTTTTTAACTGTAAATACTACCCAACGACAGACGAAATCATTGTTAGAGCGTGTAAACGTATAATAATAATATGGATATGTATGTAGAACCGGTAGCCGCCAGCCTCATGGCGCTTTACACATATTATATATAAATATAATAAATTATGCGCAAATTCGGTAAGACAGTTATCAAGAAAATAAGGCATAATTTTTTCCCCTCCCCTATCGCTTTAAAAGAAACGATTGCTGAACTACTAGTAGATGAAATAATTATCTGATGTTAATATGTGCTTCCCTTTAACATGTTTATTTAAGAACTTGCTTCAACCCTTTGTGACGAAGTTTCCACCCAGATCGTCAACGGTAAATATTTAAATGATTCTCATATTTTGGTTTACTAGTATATTGTTTGGCCAGCTGCCAATCGCCATAGATTGTCGTGTGTCCTTCAGCTGATAATATGAATACGAATACATCTTAAATCGAGAGTAGGAAGTTATAGTGAAAGTAAACTATAAACGTGAAAAGGAGAAAGTTAAAGTTGAAGAAAAACAATCAATCTAGCTTTCAGCGTCTCCTGAGTGGACAACAGCCTATTTTTTAAACAATACTCAATGAAACAAAATATCATAAAGTATCAATGAGAACTGTCCACTTGATCAAGCCCAACGATGACTAACTCAACTTATTAATTTCACTTTCTTATGACTATGTATATTTATATATATGTATATATATGTTTGTATGTGTGTCGCTGTCCGTCTGTGCGTGTGAAAGTGAGTGTATGTATGTGTAGGTGGTTTACA